AAGATCGTAATTATTTGTAGAACAGTTTTCCTCTGCAACACCATATAATTACATGCCAATGGCTGACACTGAGAGAAGAAGGCTGAATAAGATATATTATGCGTCCACTCTTCCACGAATGAATTCATAACTAATTCTTCGGCCGTACTATTCAACATATAACGACTAGGCAATGAAGTATGTAATGGACAGATGGAAGATAAATTCCCAACATTTATTAAGTGAAGGCACGTTTCATTGTATAGGCACAGGAAACTAGACCGAAGGAGTGATTCTATAGGAAAGCAACCGAGGACAAAACCAGATATTACTTGTTCACCAACAAAAACAGATTCAGTGCACGTTGATGATGTAGCACAGGAACAGTTGGGCCCATGTAAGACTGGTATAGTCGGAATGGGATGGTAGGGAATGATTTTGTTTTCATATAGTGAAAAAACCCAGTTTGACGAGAAAATATTCATAAACTGATTGATTTGTAGTCCTGCGCGTTCATTGAGAAGCGCTGCGACAAAATACATCGTGTTCCAACGTTCTCTACAAGAAATTTCGTCTTCAATTTGGAAACGAAGTTGGTCTCGAGAGATCATCTTGCCTTTGAATAGTTGCACAGCAAGCAATTCTTCGACGACACGATCGATTGTACTTTGAGCTATGTTACAAAGAGATTGTAGAGTCAGAAAGTAGACAACACCACGTCCACGAAATTCGTTTGTTGGTAAGTTTGACCAATTACCATCACCGAAAATGCTTTCTATCCATGGCATCTCTATAAACTGACTGTAGCATATTTGATGCATTCGTACGTTTAGTGCTACGAATGAATCATATCTAAAGGGTATTTCGGCACAAGGACATTCAAGTGACGAATTGAAAGAAAGGGCGAGTTGCTCATACATTGTTTCTGTTGGTTGCTTCACGGTCATCATAATAATATCGTGAGATATAAAATTATAAATGAGAAGAATTCCAAATAAGAAAATCCAGACAACAAGGTAGAGTCTTGTAGTATATAACTCGGTTTTAAAGGTCAAGTGAGATGATTTGCGTCGATTGAAGAAGAAATTAAGAGTAAGCAATTTGTTACGTAAACCATGCAGTAGATGATGTATATTAGGTTGATCTATTTTAATAAATCAGCATGTCTTAAATTATGATCATTTAATTCAATTAGAAATAGAGGAGCTGTGACACTTTCCAAAAACTAGCGTTTGAAAGATAAGCATGAATAGACGAGGGTCCTTCTCAAAGCGTTTCTCTGTCTTTATCAATTAGGTAAGATCCTGACAAGTCAGACTAGCATCGATATAATATAGACCTAACAAACGATGCTATTTCCTGATTCTTGAAAATTGGCTATTCTCACTTATCAATGAGATAGGAACGACCTTTTTTTGTGAGTTCTACAGAATTGAAGATGATTCTGGTGTTTCTTACTTAGATAAACTTAATTTGATTGCTTTCATAGGTAATGCTGATAAATATTAACGACACAAGGTTCGATATTTCACATACCTATCATATGTTCCAAGAACCAATGAGCAACGTTGATTATTATGGATGTGATTAATTTTAAGGCGACAGATAAACCACTGTAGACACTTATCAAGATAGTGATGATAATAATAAGATGTTGTCGTTCATATACGGAATAGGTGCAATAGGTTGCAGCACATTCCAAAAAGAACTTGTCATAGAATAGTGTCGTCGATATTTCATCCACCATTCCATTCTTTATAAGATTTTCTATTGAAACTGAACTGTTGAAGTAAGTGTCAAAGTTTTGGTTTAAGAGAGATGGAACGAAAACAAAATTGTTTATTCTCTTGCGCCAGAATTGAACTACCTAGAATCGATTGAGAATGATGAGAAAAGTGGATTTATTTTGTATTTTTCATTTGAATCCAATAGAGACAAATATGTTCATCTTTTATTTGATGTCTTGAGAAGTTAAACATATCGAATATTCGTTGATATTGCTCATTCTTTCTGGAACAAATTCTTTATTATAGCTTGATTTGCGAAGTTTTTGAACGTTTGATAGTTTTTTTTTATCATAAATTCGCTAAACATGGGAACTTCAGATTCTTCTCTTATATTTTCAATGATACTAAAATATGAAAGTATTTTCCTTTCAACCAGTTGTTCAGATGTCTCGATTTCTATCTATTAAACGTTATCAGAGCATGTTTGAAAAGCATGCACTACTGAAATGAAACTTATCAATTTCATTCTGCATCGTACCTAATTTCAATATTTATTCATAAACCTACCAGCTGACGAAAACTCTCTTTGAATAAGACGAGCAATGCTTTACTCAGCACTAACGTATTCTCTTTAGTAGAAGTACTTGCATCTTGAAAAAATTGGTCACATAACGGAGAAAATATTTCTGAAGTAATTTTGATGTTCATCTATTGGACAAATAGCTGACAAAATATGTGAACTTTTTACCACCACGTACTCAAATACTTGAGAATTTCGATCAGGTAAAGTCACATAAATTGAAAAAATCGTTCTGGTAGGTTGACGCAGCACGAATTTCAGGAAATCTGTACTTTGTCGTAATGGTCATCAGCATATGTTTGACTATAGAAAGAATTTAATGTATTTTTCTAAATCATTCTCTCTTTANAATTTTCTCTATCGATTGATATCATTGAAAGTTCAAATTGAACGAAAATTAGTAGCACGAGGCAGCTCACAAAATGTCCAGCAAAAGTTCTCCTGGTTGGTCAATTGCTTGACCATTCAAAATCAGTAGGATTTTGTAGCCCCCGGCTTGCTCTTTTGAATGGTGAAAACCGCAGCTCGATAACTCAAAGTAATCAAAAGTTATTCAGAAAATGGTCGTTAGTACTTTAAAAAAAAATCCGACATTAGTAATCGGTACCATAGGCCAATTTGGCTGTGGTTTCAATTATTATGAATCGAAATATTTGGTGGTGAATGAAACGAATTTGAAATTGTATATTTACATTTGGAAATGCAGCTGAGCTACATAAGAAAATGCCAAGATTCATTATGTTGATTCAAGATTTTTATTCACTATTTTTCGACCTTTATTGTGAGGAAAATATAATATATGATAATGTATTATTGTTTGTTGTTTATTGCTTATTGATTTTTATTCAACATAAAACAAAACTCTTTGATTTTTGTAAATATTACCCGAATTAAGGGCCCCCCTCAGAAATTTCATTTTTTGGTAAAATAATCGAAGTCGAGTTTTTCGCATAGGAAGATGCAGCGAAGTTTCCTCTTTCAGAATATATATAAATTTTTAAAAAAAGGTCAAATTTTTATCGACTTTCGTAGGAAATTTCCACCTCACTACTCGGTTTTCGAAAAGATTTTCACGGTTTTTGTAATTTTTGGGACGACTAGTTTTTTACTTCTATCAGCATGGAATAAACATTCTTATATCATTTAGTACGACCTGTAGTGCTAGCTTACACCATCTATTGCGTACTTTCAAAAATTCCACATAAATATTATCAATATACGATTATTTCCTGCATTTGAATGAAAAGCTTCATTTCTAAAACTTCTTTAGCGTTTTTCTCAAAACATAGTTTCCAGCCAGGAGAATTGAAATAAATTCCGCTTGGCTCGGGGATGTCTCCGATGCTTTTTTTTAATTTTAAAGGTCTTGACAAGAGCTAACTTTTGATCCGACGGATTTTTGATACTTAACTCCTGGACTAAGAAAAGTTGGATTTACTGTCGTTCGTTGACCATTTTTAGGCCTACTTTGAAAGTCATGTCCACTGAAATGCTTATAAAAAATGAATAAGAGGGAATTTAAAAATTCTGTCCAACGAACAGTTGCGCACAGAGGCTAACTTTAATTTGAAACCAGTCCGACCTCGATACGTCTTATAGCCATGAAGTTATTTCGATTCTTGTGGAAGCTATAAAACAAGCCGAAAGCCCAGTTTATTAAAGTAAATAAGACTGAAATTTTTACCATAAGCGTTTCTCACTAGTACCACTCATTCCTGAAAGTTTCAGCCGAAACGGACCGTTCTAAGTGGCAAGTCGATTCTGAGAGGGAGCCTTAAGTTGGTAGGTCATCTTGCGGATCCTCTCTTAATAAATAATATATAGTCTGTCTTTGTAATGATCCAAAATGGCAAGAATTTCTGTGAATGTGTTTCCATGTCTCAATCAGGATTGCCGTTTGACCGTCTTCACATTCATTCAGAAAGCATCCGAAACACAAAGGTGCTCAAAAAAGTAACTATTACATCTGGAAAACATAACAGAAAATTTCTCTCCAGTATTGTGATGTGTTTGGCATCTAAAAATGATTTTTTATTCTGTGGCATATGTGCAAAAGTATTGTGATAAAACTTTTTGAACGTTTTGAAGATGCAAAAGCTGCTTTTTTAGACGTCTTCATACATCTATATAGGATCACGAAAAAGTAGTTCTTATCGTTTATGAATGCTCTATCCGGATTGAGAAAATTTTATAAAATTGGTGCATCAATCAACGATATGACACATTGATATTTAAATTAGACTTAAGATATCAGTGATTATAATACGATGCATCATTAAGTGTTAACGAAAAAAGAAAATTTCCTAAAAAAGTCTAAACAGACCTTGGCTTCTTTTCAGAAAAGAAGTATGGACTTTTCATTCTGAAGTTAATCATTTTTCTCAAATGAAATCGAACAAATAAGATCTATTTATTAATGTTTCAAAATTTTTCGATAGAACTACAAGAATTATGATTTCTTTAAAAATAAAATTTCCTTTCAGTATAATTTTTCTGGTCTTGGACAACGAAATGATTCCATGTTATATGAAAGGTCAATAAACTCTGCATGGTTATCAAAAAAATAGGAAAAGCTCAAAGTAAAACCTAATATATATTTTAAATTGTAAAAACAAATTATAAATTCAAAACAGGATACTCTAGATTACTGATTCAATGTTTAATATAGATTAACCGGTAGATCGCCCCTTATATATTTACTATTGTTCGTCAGATCATAATTGTGTTCTTCGTTCTGTTTCTTGCTTGATCATTGCTTGTTGAACATAAGCTGGGAGACCTGGATTGTGACTCAAAGCGTAGGGTAATAATGTTTTGGATATTTCTTCAAAATCAACCATAATTCTGATAAGCATTGTATCGTCTCGTACATACGAACTTCTTTCCTGTTGAATTGCTTCCAATGGGATAAATTTCTGTATACCGTTGGCTATATTCACATTCGACCGAGGTTGCTGAAAACTACTTGATTTAATGTCTGGTCGAAATGAATCGATAATATGTCGTTGTATAGACGTTTGATCGTATAAACAAAATGTGACTTTATAGTTGAATGGAAATTTGAGAATTGGATCGTTCAAACCTTGCATGAGCACAAAAAATAGTGGCATGTGTGTACAACGAGTATTTCCATCGCCATTTAAATAAAGACGAGCTCTCATTTTATAACCATTTGGAGATGAATAAAATGGAGGCGAATAAATTGATGTTTGTCTTTCAAATTTGGCATCAACTAAAAATAAAACAAAAAAGGCACGTCAAGAAGACTAGAAGAAAATATAAAGAAATTTAGTTGATCGACAGCATTAATGATTAGTGTCGATGATTCATTAATATATTATTCATAGATTGTGTTCGAGAATAAATATAATATAGTATGTTGAATGTAATATTGAATCACTAATATATTCTTTGTCGATATTATAGAAATCGAATATCATGTTATTTTTTGATTATCTTTTCGATAAGATTTTTTGTTTTTATTATTGAACATAAAAACTGGCATGAGAATCTCCTCCTTTTTCTCCTTTTTGCTACTTTTCTTTCAAAACTCAGCCGATGCATCATCTAATCTAGTCAAAATTCGCGAACTCTGTGATGAAGTTGTCTTTCTTCATACTTTCCAATCTTGATATAATTGAAAATGCCCTCCAATCAACAACAGAATTCTGCAGAATAGTATTGTTTGAACAGATCTAATGAAAAACTCTACATACATCATAATTTTATTACTGTAGGACAGGTTGGTATTATAGTACCCTAGCTTTTGGGAGCAATCTTTTTGCCATATATGAATGTGATGATGTAGCATTTTGTTTTTTATTATTGTGAAGGCAAGGCAACCTTCAGGAAGGAAAATTTTCTAAGTAAGAGATGAATAGTCTACGAACGATTATAATCGGGAGTAGTATTATTGACTGCAAAAAACGAGTAATGAGAACAAAGTAGTCTTACTGTCCTTTCATGAATTTTTAGCAATCGGATGTTCTCAGAAAAAGCGTGTATATGTTTGTGCAATATTCTATTCGATGAATACACAAAATCTGATTTCTGCAATCCTAATTCTAGTTGATTTTACTGTTGTATGCCAAACTTCTGGTGATATTTCAATGACCTCTATGGTAGGATGCTAATAGTGCACCCTAACAGATATTTTGAATTTTACTGAGAGAACACAGGCATATTTGTATAATGGGACAATATTCAGGGACTCAAACAATCAAAACAATTGCACTAAAATGAGGGAAGGGAAATAAAAGTCTATCTATTTCAATTTCATTGACTCACATGAACATTTTCATTGATTTAATTCCAAAATTGTGCTTTTTTAAGTCCGCAGGACTGCTGACATGACTATATCCCAACTCCTGAACGAAGAATATATCATGCATGAAACTGAAGTCTATGACAAGTAGCAGCTGCGAAATTAAATCAATCTTAATTCATTATTTGTTGTTCCACGTAAAGATTGATATAAATTTTAACAGCGAAGATACGCTTAAAATTTTTTTGCAATATTATCAGTCATTTACATCAATCTCTTCCTGAGCGAAAAACTTACATGAAATACCGATAAAAGCATCTTCTTGATGCATTTTCATTGTCCAAAAGGAAACATTTTTCGTAAATTGTGAAGCTTATGTGGACTTTTACGCAAAAGAGTTTAGTTGATTTGATTAGTTTTGCAATTCAACATCATAGAATCATTGAATAAACTGTATTCTGCAGATGCACAGACCCATTTAGACAGAGTCAAGTAATAAGTGGATATGATTTGTTTCAGAATAAAATTTTACTCTCTTCAGCATGACTTTCTAATTGAGTGAACTACTTTCTCGATACATGTCACAGCTTTGTTTTGAGAAATCCATGTATAAACTATTGTAAATTTTAGTGGGTTCGTCGTGTTATCGTAGTCAAGTATTTTAATGCATCTGAAGTGCCGAAATGATTTTTACAGCAAAAAATAATGTCCTCCTTTCATCCTCCTTTTCTAAATCCTATCATCCAAAAAATTTTTTCCAAAAATCCTCCTCAATCCTTCTTTTCTTCAAATAGTCGTTCACATACCGGCATAAAAGTAATTATTTATCTTACTCATTTTTTCTCGAAAGTTTGTTATTTTCCAAACCAATGTTGTATCATATGAAACATACTGCAAATCATTGATTTTTAGTTGCAATGATAACAAATCTTGATTGAGAATATCTTGATTGTGTTTTACTCCTTCCAAAAAAGAATTTGATTCTTCAATAGATAATTTCACTTTCGATAATGCTTCTGTCGATGGTGGAAGTGACATTTGTATTTGAAGTGATTCATTAGTTAGACTTTGTCCATCGCTAGTCAATGTTTCGATGTCACCTGTCAAGATATTGAGCATTTCATAAAACTCTTCTGATTGAGTTGTAGCAGAGTTACAAGCGCCTGCAGTTGTTGTTCGATGAAGATCAATATTCAATTGTCTATCGCTTAATTGCAATAATATTTGACGAACAACTTTTAGTACAACATGTTGATGTTGTTGAGTTAAATAATGATCTTCCATTTTGGCATGAATAATCTAAAGAACATGAAGTTGGGAATGTTAATTTCACGTAGAGAATTTTCATACTGGCTCATTACAGCCATAATCTTTCAAAACACAGTTAACAGTCAGTTGTTGACATTCAAAGACTTTATGTTCATTGAATTGGTTAACTGAATTGAACTGTTCGTCGCAACATTCATATTTGAGATTTGGGTGAGATTGATCAAGATGTTTCTTTGGAAGAAAAAAGAAAGAAGATTCAAGAATAAAATAAATTACTTGATAGTTATTTAAGACACCAGTCCACTGGCAAAAATAACAATCAATGGGAAGTGATTCCATATCTTTTTTGAAGCCTCAATCAAGCAACATCTACGCAAAAGACATATTATTTTCTCTTTGATTATTAAAAGATATGTTACATCGATTCTTAATGTTTCTGTATGGCATTGTCGACATTTAATTGTTGTTCTTGAGAAAGAAAAATGAAGAATAATATTTCATATTAACAATAAAACTTACCCTTGTTCAACATTTAAACATGTTTGACACTGACGATGACCACATTCTGTCAATTGTACAGGATCTTGTAGTATCAATGAACATACAGGACAAATATATTTCGTATCAAGGAGACTTTTATTTCTTGCATCGATCCCAACCATTATCTTAATTCTTTTTCGTTGATCAATATATAAATAGCAGAAGATTTTCTGAAATGTCAAAACTAATTCAAGTAGATTACTATCCTAATAAGTGAGCAAAGAAACGTTAGGTTTTGAAGTTAACATTGTGCTAAATCATCTATATAGAAATTAGAAATGAGTATTAAAATATGGTACGGTTTTCAAATTTTCACAGTAAAAAAAATACTGAGGAGTTCGAAATAAATCGAATCACTACTATTAGATTAAGCCTTGAATTGATTGTCGATGCATTGATCAAAATTTCGATTGTAAATGGATTATTATTGATGAAAATCAATGGAACGTCAACAGGCATATGAAAGCCTTTCTCTAAATTCAGTAGAATCGCATAAAAAACACAATTGAATTATACAGGCTCATTCAAACTATGACAATTATTTACAACATCTACTTACTTTATAATAATATTACAAATATTAGGAATTTAAAAAAGAATTTTTTTTCTAAAGAATGATCGATCGTTTTATCTATTTTGAAATCGATTCATTTTGCAACATTGGTTGGATTTATCAAACGAAGCTTGAAGTATATTTAATTGCCTGTAATTGAACAGAAATCGAATATGCACTTTCCTATTAGATTATTATCAAAATAATTGACGTTATTCCTTACTAAAATAAGAAATGTATGATATAATAATTGGGAAGTTAGATGAGTCATATTTATGAGTCAAATGAGTAAAAATATCATGTAAAGAAAAAATGATGCCATTGCATAGTAGAAAAAATATTTTCGAAAGTATAAACAAATGTTGGACAACTCTAATAAATCATGTAGTTAATAAGTAGAATGTTTTCTTCACTGTCTTATAGGAAGCAACTTTACGTATTTATCAACGAAATACAATTAGTAATCGGTTTCTTCCTGTTTTCGTAATCCAATACTGAACAAGCATTTCTAATGGAGATATTCAGGGTGTTTTACTTCAATTTGTAATAGAAGACTTCACAATATAAGATCCAAAATCAGTCACGTCGTAAAAGCCTTTTAAAATATATACAGCATCGAAAAATCATGTTGTTCTCTATCTGGTGATGTGGTGGATTTGATTTTTATAAATGATTATAAGTGAACATAGCTCATCAGCTTGTGTATCTAGTGTAAAGACACATCTAAGAATTGAGACGAACGAATTTTTTTCTATCCATAAGTATTTAAGATATTGAAATACTATGGCTCGATACGCTTTTCTTCGCTCTACAAAACTTTTATAGGTACCTACGTAGTACGCTCTATTTCTCCAATGAGAGAACAATAATACATTCATAAAACTTTTTCAAAATTGGCGTTATTATTTCATCTACAAAAATCTACTTATTCAAAAAAGTTTCAAAAGTTATCCAAATATGGACGTTTTTGCATTTATTTGATAAAACATCCTCTTTTTTCGAAATTTTTTTCCGTAAAGTCGTTTCGGGGTGTCTTTTCGGGAGAAAATAGTTTTCACCGAAACATACACCATTCAATTCAACATCAAATGTTGAACCCGATTTTAATATAGAAATTTCTTCCCAACATTTGTTTTTGGGCAAATGGTCGAACAAGAGCCCGGAATCAACTAAAAACCGGGTGTTTCCACAAATAAATGTAGACAAAGTTCCACATTTGAATAATTTTCGAAGTTGTTTTGAATAAGTAGATTTTGTAGATGAAATAATGGTACAGTTTTGGCAAAGTTTCACAAATGTATTATTTTTTGTTGTAGAGAAAAAGCAGTCGTACTATCAGGAGCTGGTTGCACCAGTGTAACTTCTACCATATTCTAAGCTATATATACCTATTTCACTGAGATTCATCGCGACGAGCTATAAGAGAAGTTGCCACTTGGGTGATGGCAGTTTTTTTTATAAATGCTTCAAATTTCACTGCTGTGATTGTACTGAACGAGAATTGCTTGTTGTTAGTTCTTGAGATTCCTCGAGTCGCAATGTGTTACATTTGCAGACACTGAAATTTTGTGAAAATTCATGCAGCTTTTCAATGTCCTTCAAAATAAAAGCTACCGTCGATGCGATGGATATCTCTGATAGAATGTGAGCAGAATGAACGTTTGAAACTGGAACAAGAGCATCGTACCCATCATCCTCACCTTTACTATCAAAGAAGAGCGAATTCGATGAATAAAAAATTTTCATTCATTGACTTTTTCATGGAATATGCATTCGTGTAGGATCAGTTTTTGGCGTAACAGTTGATCGTAAAAAACACAAGTTTATACTCACAATAACCAAGATTATATATTTGTAGTTCATTTCTAAACATATTTTTGTGATATATATATGTTCTCTTTTATGAGTTTGCAATGGATTTTTTGTGAACAACATCTTAACAAAATATAATCGTAATTAAATGTTAACTCTCACTATAGATAAAAGGATTTCGTTTTATTTAATGAAAGATTTATCTGAGTAATAAATAATTATCTCATCATGAATGTAAGCCCGCTCGATATTGTTCTCAAGTAGTTTAAAAACTGCATTGAAACATAAATTATTATAACTAAATTGTTTTAACAAACAGATTAGAATTAAACATTGACTAGCAGGAGAAAACGAATAAATGAATGATAGAAGTATTGAATAAAGAAAAAATACATGCTGAATACAGATGATCTCATCGTAATTTCAGAAATAAGAATAAATAGATAACCATTGAATTTCTTTTAAAATGCACTTCTTTGTAACAAATAGTTGAAATAAATATACAAACTACGTATAATATTTTATTTGAAACTTGATATCAAATCTGTGGGAAGACGATTTGTTTTGAAATATGAAGCAAATATATTTTGTTTTGTAATAGATCTGCATGGAATTTTCTCTTAGTTTAATTGATAAAGTTTTACTTGTTCAAAAGAGAAAAGTAGTTATTTACTAAAATATTTCTATATTTCGCTACGATAAGCCTGCAGCAGACTTTATTTCTCTGCATATGCTGTCCAAAAAAAAAAGATTAAAGAAAGACAATATCACATTTTTAGTTATCATTCACATAATATTACAAGAAAATCTTGTGTAGTTTTTGATTCGCTTTGTGGTGATTGAAAATAAACAAATCTTAATAAACGATAAATCTTGTTAACTAGATGCATTTATAACAAACGATCTATACTTAGTCGGAGAAAAAAATAATAAAGACGAGGCATAGAACAAGTTATCACAAAGAATGTCCAATGGAAATAATGTTTTTGACCTCAGATAGAGTCAAAAGAACAAAGGAAAGGAAAATATTAGATAATTCCTTT